TACGTGGCCAGAGGACAAAAGCTTTGCTTTGTGACCTTGTGTGCCGGCCGGAGCTAGCGGAGGCACAGGTACATCACGCCAAATTTTGCTTCTTCCCAAAGTGCAAAGCGAAAGCGTCGAGACAGGGTTAGACCAGACAAATTTCGGGCCTGTTTAGATTATAGCCAAAATAAACCTTACTAAATTTTAGCAAGATAAGATAGTAATATTACTAAAATTTTAGCAGAATTTCTTATGTACTTACTAAATTTTAATAACAAACTAAATATAAATATAGATATATTTTTTAGTAATTTTACTTAAAAAATGGTCCCCTTCCTTTGGACACAAACAAACGTTGCATGCGAAAAAAGTTAAAACTCCTACGTACGTACGTGTGGAAGCTGCGATAGCGCCAAAGCAAGCACCTGCGTTTCCAAATTAATTCCAACCATCGACGATTGCCGCCTCCACCTCGGGTGACGCGAATTAGCATCCAAAAAACACTAATGGACACGTCGACGACAGTGCATGCCTTTCGTCGATCTTGCCTAACTTTAATACCTACGATACGACAATTCAACCGTACATATGCTGGAGCTAGTAATCAACTTTATCGTTATCCCGATATTTATTATAGGATCTTACAGTAGTAGTATCCTATGAAACCGAAATGATACAATCCTCACCTATCCTAATTTTTATATATTCGTTTCCACACATCTTACAAAATTTTTAGGTAATATCCATACGATCCTACAAAATATTATTTAAAATAATATGGATTGAATAATAATATGACTAAATATATAAAAATAAAAAAAATGTTTTTTGTCTATATAAAATCTGATAACTTACCCATAAGTGCATCTTAAGTGTTTTTCCTCATGGAGTAACCTTGGTCTATTATGAGCATTTTGGACCCTTATTGATCTTCGACTTGTTTTATTTGTTGCTGCAAATATTTTTTTTTCTTTTTATTCCAAGCAAGAAGATGTTTTCCTAGATGAATAGATTTGTTTTGAAAAGAGCCATCAACAACATACCAGCATGTCTGAGCTTTATTGAGAATAGCAATAATATATACGAGCATGACCACTATAAAGCATAGATAAGTGATAAACGGTAGAATGAGGGAAAATGTATATATGCACCGTTCAACATTTCCTAAGCAGCAACCAAGAAGTTCAAGAACCATATCACAACCAGATTGTTTATTAGACCAAGTATAAGCAAGACCATTATAACCAAGATCAATAAGACCAAGATTCCTAATATGATGGTGAAATTGAGAAATTCTAGTACTATTGATAGGTAGATCTATACATGATATCATTAAGATTCCTCATATGATGGTGAAACATTTCATTATCATTCATGATATCATTAAAATCACCCATACAAGTAGGTCTATGGCTACTTTGTACAACAAAATTTGCACTCTCTTTCCATATAACAACACTAGCTTGATGGTTAGGGTCACCATATGTAGAAACAAAGGAGATTAAACATCATGCTTATTGGACTATGTACACCAAAATCAAGCATATATAATTAGGGCTAGACATAACTATGGTAATATCTCATTCGTCCACATTAACCAAAGGCTTTTTGATCTTTGTACAGCTAGAACCACAAAGCTATTATCAACCCGGAAAGCATTAGTAAGCTCATTAGCAGTTATAGTAGATTTTTTTATTCTGAAATAAATATTTCCTAGGCCTGTGTGAATCAAACAAGATTTTGGAGTGTTGCATCTTATTTTTAGTGATATGCCCTAGAGGCAATCATAGAGATAGAGATGATTGTATCACATACTATGTTTACATATTTATCCGATATTGTTCCTTGAAATAGATTACTCATTATTGGTTAATGAATATGTGATTCTTTCATGAGACTCTTTATGTTGATTGTTACTATTTCTAAAGGATCCCTGATCAAATATCATATGTGGAACAAATATGTTTAAATGATCAGCACATGTATTAATTGATGATCACGTCTCATGGATCATGTTATAGAGATATCAAATTAATAATGTGGATACATGTTGGGGAACATGTTGTTGGATAGACCCAACATGAGACACTGCAAGAGCCATATGTGTTGTGTCATCAGTGATCTTATTTAGTGTTGGTGTTGAATTCTTAGACCTGAGATTATCATGGTTCTCAACATGTGTAGTAGCTTACTTAGGGACTGCTAAACGCTACTCCGTAATTGGGTAGTTATAAAAATAGTTTTCGGGTATGCTATAAAACATGTAGTGAGATATGAATAATTAAGATGGGATTTGCCCCTCCTATGGAGAGATATCTTTGGGCCCCTCGATGTTATAGATTATAAAAGTGCATGGCCATGCCAAAGGTGATTGAGGGGTCAATCACAAGTTATATAATCCATCACAGATTCGAGTGAATGATTGAGCTATTAGAGGATGACATATATCTAGCCTTGAGCTTAATCGATATCGTGAGGTAAAGAGGTTCATACAAGTAAACACTAGAGGTTCAGCCGATATGATCTTTATGTATGTCCGGTGGGTCAATACGTTCTGCTAGAGGCAGCTTTTGACACGTGGATCGAAAAAGAGTTTTCGGGTTATAGCCGAGTGTACATGAACCTACAGGATCGCACACTTAATGGGCCGGAATAAGGGGATTGGATGGAGATCTAATATGAGTTTAACTCGGATAGGGATCCGAATAGGAGTCCTATGAGCCTTGAAGGCCCGAGTCATGGATCCTATATATTCGTGAGGGGTGTGACCGGCGGAGGTATTGCATCACGTGAGAAACCCTAGCCGTCACTCCCCTCCCCGAGCAAAACCCTAGCCGTGCGCGGGTGCTAGCACATCTGTGCGTGGCGTTCCATCCTTGTACGTGTGGATACCGGTAGAGGCACCGCTGTTCTGCATGCTGATTGGCGTGGGAGTACGCGAGGAGAACGCACAAGGAGGAGAAGGTCGAGCCGGTGCAATCGACTACTTCCTCTACATCGACGCGCGCTACATCGTGAGGGTTCCTTCGCCTTCTTAGCACTTTCTTCCGCTGTGCAGCGCGTCGAGTGGTAACGATTTATGATATAATACTTGCATTGTTCCTGGTTTACGCGGTAGAAAATTTTGATTTATGCTATCGTAGCCTACGCGTATCCCAACACTTATTATTGTTGAGGTGACCCCCAATCCCTCGGCAGTTCCAACTTAGCATCATTGCGCCTTTTCATCTTTGGGGCTTGGCACCATAGCCCATTTAGCATCAACTCTATACCATTGCCAGCTTCGAGTATATGGAGAATAACGTGCGGGGGCATGGATGTCCACTACTACATTATTGACTATCACTGCTAGGTAAAAATGATATCACTGTCGGTTTTAATTCGGTAGTATGCCTATAATCATCACTATACCGGTGCAACCAATGAAGGAATCAACGATATGCACGCTCGGAGGGAACAGGGAAGGTCAAATCGATCAATAGTCCTAGTTTAGCATATGGGTCAACTTTATAGGCTTATAGTAGAAAAATATAGGACTAACTATAAAACTTTTGAAAGAAAATTTCTCCAAAATCTTCCAAATACAATTATAGTACAATTATAATATAATTATATTGTAATTTGAGTGTAACTTCAATGTAACATTGTAACATTTATGTAACTTGACCAAATCTTCCAAATTCTGTGATAGTGCAAGTGGCTAGCATGCACGGCTTATGAACAATCGGTTATGAGTTCAAACTCGTGTGTGCGCACAGTGCACAAGTGATTTTTCTTCCAGCACGAATCTTGAGGTAAATCCGACAGAAGAAAAATTAAAAGTTTCCTCCCGCACCAGCATAAATTTTGAGGCAAAATTTTAACTTGGATCCCCCCAACCTTACGCTTGTCTCCTTTGTGACCAAGTAGATGATGAAGAAATACAACCTATTGTATGTCGATAGAAATTTAGTAAATCCGAAAATTTTAACTTGGATCCCCCACCCTCCCGCTTTTCTCCTTTGTGATCAAGTAGATGATGAAGAAATACAATATATCATTGTGTGTGCTGTCTTTACAAGGCAAGTTTGGTCATTCCTGTGCCGTGTAAAATGTGTTTGTATATAGGTTTTATGTGTCAGTGTGTGAGTTTGTTTTTTTTTAATTACCGACGGTAGGAGATCAGACGTACGTTATGCAAAAGTCGTCATATAATTTAGGATTATAAATTGTTGTATTACTTTCTATCATAAAGTATCATATTGCTTTCTGTATAACCAAAACACAGTCCAATAATCATGACGACAAATGGCAATTCATGCCAATGCATTGTTGAGGGATTTCCAACTCTAAAGATTACTTACAAAAAGGAAAAGGGGCTAGGTAATTAAAGGCAGAAAATCGTCGAGGACATTAGTCGATCTAACACCAAGCTATTCTAGATCAGGGTTCGACTTATCGTCGGTTACCGCGGTTACCGGGCTTACCGCGGGGGTACGGTAATATAAATGCCTCGGTAACCTCTTTAAACAAATAAATTTAAAAATAATTTGAATTTTTGATAAATTTTGCACGGTTTTTCACAGTTACCGCGGTTACCGCACGGTAACCGTGCTTACCGCCGGGGCGCGGTAACCCCGGCCCGGCGGTTTGGGAAACCCTGTTCTAGATAAGCTGCAACTTACATAACCACGTGTATTATATATTTATGTTGTTTTGGCTGAGGCCCTTAGGTGAGCAGGAGCCATGAGCAAACAGGTACTACCTCCGTCACAAAATATAGCAACTTTTAGCTATGAATCTGGACACACAATTATCCAGATTCATAACTAGGAATGTTCAAAATGATCAAATGATCTGAGCAGCATATAAGAGAGAAAATTGCCATGGAAGTAACATCCGAAGGGAAATTCAGCAAACGTACTAATCACTAGATTAAGATGACATTGTTCACAACTAGTTTAATTATTCATGGCAGACTAACAGACTGTCAGACTCCACTATAGCAAGAGATAAAAAGGCGAGCCAATACTGCAAGCCCACAGGCCACCACGGAGACGGAGGACAAGATGGAGGGTCGACTCCTTCTGAATGTTGTAGTCAGCAAGGGTGCGTCCTTCCTCGAGCTGCTTGCCAGCGAAGATGAGGCGCTGCTGGTCCGGGGGAATACCCTCCTTATCCTGGATCTTCGCCTTCACATTGTCGATTGTGTCGGATGACTCCACCTCAAGGGTGATGGACTTGCCGGTCAGGGTTTTCACAAAGATCTGCATCTGATGAAAGATAACAGTGATGTTAGATCAATTTGAAGCACACGGTAACTATGCACAGCAAAGCACAATTAACAAATAGAGTACATTCCAAATAAAAAATAGGTTGATGTAGAACATAGTTTCAGTCTGATGTCACATAGAAATACATTCATATTCCGAGTCACAGATATCATTAGTACTGATATGAGTGCAGTTTTTCCTTGTACAACTAATTAACAAAAGGATCCAGTTAGCTCTGAAACACCCCATATTTGGAATAGAAGCAGCAATAACAATTAGCTATGAAACCATGCACGCATTATTTGTAGTTCTGAATGTAAAACAGATAGGGGTGAGTATAATCGATTTGCAATGGCCATCTGGATTTCAAATTAATCAATACACATGTATCCTAGAACACACTGACAATCTCCTATAAAGACCAAATCGAACTTGTACAGCGAAACAGCAAACCACACACACCAAATCCCATGTTCAGCAAATTAATCTACTAAACCAGCATCAAAAACAGAGTTCACGCCGGACGATCCAATTACGCGAGGCTTTCAAGCGTAAACAGCCAGATCCAAACGCACGAATCAAGCGCAACAGCCAAACTAATCTACTAACTAACACAGGAAAATTCAAATCTAGTTAAAACCATACACGGTGTGCAGAAGCAGAACTAAAACACGGTTACACAAGGCCCTACGACAGAGTACGCGAGAAACAACATATGACAGCAGCAGTGCAGTTCCAAAGACCGATCATCAGTGATTAATCGATCGATCAAAACTACGAGATTAGAAGGTGATTAGGGCACGGGAGGATTAGGTACGTACCTTGCGAAGGCGAATGGATTGATCGATGAGGAAGAAGACGGCGTGGGGTGCTCGATCGCTATTTATAGCTTACCTGTTCTGTTCAGATGCGCCGCAGATGGAAACGGCCGGGTCCAAGATATCAGTTCTGATTTGTTCTTCTGTTTCCAATTTTTTACGTGTTTCGAATTGGACGTTTTGTTTTCTGTTTCCATGGTTCGAACTGGAAATGTCTTACAATTGTGGTTGTTGATGGTTATACTACTAACAAGGCTCATATATGTGTAGCAATCTTTATTTGTAAAAGGAAATGCACACAATAATTTTATTTCTAGCTTTTATTATTGGCAACAGCTATATTATGCAAAGATACCGGCACACAGGAGAGGTAAACAATGATACGCTTTTTTTTTTTAGAAACCGAGCAATGATACGCACTATAATATACTCCATATGGTAGTTTGAGAGAGCGGTTTTCAAAAAAAAAAAAGGTTTGAGAGAGACTACAATAGAATCAATTTGCATCATATTTTTCGTTATATCTATAATTAATTTGTATTTACTCATCATTAGATTTTCTTCCTTATCTCCAACGTCGGTCCGCGGCAGCATTGTCATTCGTCGGTCATTCCAAGCCCGGTTTCGTTGTCTTTCCTTGAAGAACTAGTTGGCCGCTGCATGCGGATCCTCAGTAGTCAGTACAAGTCATCGACTCTCCACTTTGCTGTACTACTTCATTTGTTGTTTTGACAAAAAAAAAAGTTCATTTCACGTACCTAATCTAAGATATGAGTTCTATCTTCGTAGAAAACTAGTATAAATGAGGTCCTAAGGTAATATTGAGAGCGGCTTCACTTGACTTGCTTGTTTGACTTGTTCTATCTCCATTGAGGTGCAGCCTATATGGCCATCGAAAAGAAATTAAAAAAAAATTACGTGAGGCCCATCAGGGGCGGACCTAGCCCAAAAATCGAGTGGGAGCATCTTATTAGAATTGATAGTGTGCTCAAAATTTTTTTACTTAATTACACATTAGTAATACACTAAATATTAAATTTGAGTGGGGTCCACATACTGTGGATCCGCCCTTGAGGCCCATTATCACTGGGTGCCCTTTCTCCCCCACTCTCTCTCCCCTTTCTTCAATGCGTGGAGATGATTCCCCTGGAACAGACCTTGACGGCAAACTCTAGTAGAAGCAGCGGGGGACGAGGCAGAGCGAGGACATGGGGTCGGTGGCAACCGGAGCTCGAATAAGATTGGTACTCTAGACCAAGTCGGCAGTGCCATCGGGAGCGATAGACAGAGGAAACTCGGTGGCTATGACAACGAGGCAGGGCGGGCTCTTACCAGCAAGCAAGAGGCAATGTTGTGGATAGTCGGGGTGCTGGACTGCGACGACCAATGCAGAGCTCAATGAAGATGTCCGGTACAGAGGGGTTGATGTAGGACGGGCTCTTGGAGGGTGGTGGAGGAGGCCTTGTAGAGGCCTGAGATCCACAATTCGCGAATCGCAAGGCGGCAGAAGTGGCAGAGCCAGACATGGCGAGGAGTTCGAGTGGTTGATGGTAGGGACAAAGCGGGCTACATACCGGCGTGGTTAGGAGGTTGAGCCGCGTGGCAGCGTGTGAAGGAAGCGAAGCCGCGGTTGCCTAGGATTAATTACGAGGTCGCTATTGCTTTGGTCCTCTTCTGCCCCCTCCCCTTTCATGTCGGCCGTCTTCCTAGATACCAGGAAGAGATCGACAAGAAAGATGTGGGGAAGAGGGGAGAAGGGAAAAAGATATGAACCCTTGACATGTGGGCTCATGTGGGTCCTACTATTTTTCATTAACTGTAAGTGCCATGTCAGCAAAAGTCATCCTTAATACTACCTTAGAATTAGATTTGCACTGGTTTTAGAAGATGAAGGATGCGTTATACCCGATTTTATGGTTGAGTAAGTTTGAAAACTCAACCATTTCGAGGGACATAAAGTAGACTTTTTTCCTGTATTTGAGCTAAGCTTCTGCTTTCCACGAGGCCCAAATCCTGGCTCATGTAAATGGGCCGGTAAATTAAAGTAAATAAAAGAAAAAAAACGTGCATAATTCGTCTTGGCTGAGGACCTTAGCGGAACAGGAAGTCTGCAACCACGAGCAACACAAAGCCAACAAAGACCTTACATTACTAATACAGTAGCAAACAGTGGATCACGATCACAATCACAACAATTAACTGATTAAGAGAGACATGTCTAAAATCTCTGCAGATCACATACTACAACGAATGACATTGTCGAAAATCTCCGCAGCACAGACGAACAGCCTCCATTGTCGTACGGACAGCGAGAGCACACAGCCCAACCCTCCAAGCCACACCGGCGAGGTTGGAAACGGAGAAGACTCCGGCCATCCTGCACACTCTAACCATCAACCACACGCTCTCCCTCAACCCGCTCGCAGCCAGCGAAGTCGAGCCTCCTCCGCCGCCGCCGATCGCCTCCACGTCGTCGTGGTCGTCGTCGATGGCATCGGCGGCGCCGAGGGTGACGATCTCGCCGTCGATGGCCTTGACGACGATCCGCACTTCACCGTGGTCGCTGTGGAGATTATGGGTATCCCATATCTACACGGCGATGGTATTCGAACCGGGTACAGGATACTTAATGTAGATAGAATATCTTATCTGTATCTCGGGTTTGTTTCTTAACTTGTGTATCAAGGAAACACCCTGAGAATTAGTCGGTTACGACTGTATTTTACCTGTATCTTCATATTCCGTTAGGAATATAGATTATCTTTTGTAACCCGGACTCCTTCCCATATATAAGGGGGGTCCGGGCGCCTCTAGGGGCATATGCTGATTTTTCCCGAATCATACAATCAATAATACACTCGGCGGATTCATCCCCGGACAGGAGTAGGGTATTACTTCTTTCATAAGAAGGCCTGAACCTGTATAAATCCTTTGTCTCCAAACCCATACACTTTCCGAACTTGATAGCCACCCCCTTTTATTATTGCCGAAATCTAGTTTCGACAGTTGGCGCGCCAGGTAGGGGTAGCGTCAAGCTTTTCGCCGATCAGTGCAATGGGTTCCGTCACCGGCATCGACGACCTCGTCTTCCCACCCGGGCAGGCGTTTCGGTTCGGCAGCCTCGACTTCATCACCAGCAACTTCGGCAAAATTTCTCTCCTTGACTCGGAATCGAACCAGTCGGGAGAGAACCGGATCTCAGCCCCGTTTGGATTCCCAAACGCGGCTGAAACCTACTTCAAGACCATCTCAATCGAGTCGGCTTCAAACCACTCGGCTGAGATTGCATCTTCTCCAACGACACAAGATCAAGAGGATGGGGCTTACCCACCAGTCCTGATGAAGCTCCCCGACGATTTAGCGGCCGTCTTCACCACGACAGCGTCTTCATCCCGTAGGCCTAGGCGGAAGTCGGCTTCAACACCGATTTCGCCTAGCTTCAGGGAAGTCGGCGTCATCCTCCAACCACTCGGCACGGTTTCGACGGATCAGCTGGATGACTACAACAGCTCTCCCACCGTCGACTCGCGCCCCACCGACATCGTGGAATACGATGAGTTCAGCTCTCGCTACCACGACTTCGACGACTTCGACGGAAGCCTAGATGACAACTACACCCCTCTCTAATTTGGCGTTTTCATGGCCAATAATGAGACGGAGGAGCAACGTCAAGCCCGGGAGACCGAAGAACGTCGCCGACTGGAGGAGGAGCATCAAGCACAAGAACAGGAACGGCTACGGCGTGAGCAGCAGGACCGCGAGCGGATCGCCAAGGAGGCTGAGGATCGACGTCAGCGAGCTCTGGAAGCAGGGCGCCGAGCGCGTGATCTCATCGGCCAACAAGATGTCGAAGGGACACCGGTTTTCCGCACCCCTCAACAGAATGCGGTTGCCGCGATCACCCTTCTCGACACCCTACTCAACCAAAACGAGCTCAATCGATCCGACCACGTCGTCAACATCTTGAACCAGACGAAGACCATGATTGCGGCCTCGGTCCCAGTTAACTCCGAAAGCGTCCACACGCCGACTGGCAGCCGAGTTCCCTACTTCCGATCTCACGACTACCGTCATCCAAGCCTCAGCATCACCGGCGCAGGATCCAACCGCAGGAGCAGGGGTCACGACGAGCGGTCTGTTCACTCACCTCCCGACCTTCATAGGGAGCGCCGAGTGGAACGA